TTAAAATATATTTATTTAAAATAGAATCAGTAACTAATTTCGCGGAGGCTCGTTTTAAGGGAACAATTTCGGTCCATTTACTAAAATGATCAACCATAACAAGGAGATAGCGACTTTTATTTAACTGACTTTTTGGGAAAGGGCCCAATAAATCGATGCCAATTATTTCATTTGGAAATTCGGATTTAATACTATTTAGAAACCCGGCCGGGCGGAAATTAATATAATTAACGGCTTGACATGTTGGGCAGGACTGGACATACGCCCTTGTTAACTTTTGCAGTTCAGGAAAGTAGACTGCCTCGCGTACGCGTTGGATAGTTTTTCGAATACCAGCATGAGAAGCTAAAGGGCTGTCATGGAGCTCTTGCAGGATATTTAATCTAAGACTAGCTGGGATAACAGGTCGAAATTCGTTGTTGGAATTCGTAGTTTTTGTATAAGAATAATAGACCATCTATTAGTTCGTAATGGGCCGCCCTATTTCTTATCGCCACAATATCTTGGTGGCTAAAATTTTCAGGATCCTTCAAATACTCATAAATACTTCCAAACTCAGGATCCTTACCCAGTTCGGTTATTACAGTTTCTCGGGAATTTATTGTACACGCTGTCAGCATTGCAACTTTACGGTATTACTTTACCTTCCTGTTCGTCTAATTTATTCGTGATAGGGCATCTGCTACGATATTTTCCTTTCCGGGGGTATGCTTGATTACCAGATTATATTCTTGCAGCTTGAGTGCCCATCTTATTAACCTTGGGGATAAATTTTTCCCTGAGTACAATCTAGTTACCGCCGCATGATCAGAGTATACTGTTATCGGCGCCTTTCCAAAATAGACTCGGAACTTTTGCACTGCTAACAGAACTGCAAGTGCCTCTCTCTCGGTCGCGGAATAGTTTCTTTGTGTTTGATTTAAAGTTCGGCTAAAAAATGCCACGGGCTGCTGATTTTGCGAAAGTACCGCTCCTACCGCATAATCCGAAGCATCCGCTGAAATTTCTAAATTTCATCCTTTTCAGGAAATTTCAACACAGGGGCTTGCGTTAATGCTTGTTTTAATTTTTCGAAAGCACTATTGGCTTCGGCCGTCCACGAGAATCTTGCCTTTTTCCTTTTTAATTTTAACAATGGCTCAGCGATAGCCGCAAAATCTTTTATAAAGGACCTATAATATGAACAAAGTCCTAGAAAAGAAGAGAGCTTCTTTGCCGTGTTTGGAGTCGGATACTTTTGTACAGCGATTATTTTTGATTCATCTGTCTCGATCCCTTTTTGAGATATTTTGTAACCTAAATATTTTAATTCAGGGGCTGCAAATTTGCACTTTTCGACATTAACTTTTAGACCGGCCTCATTTAATAAAGAAAACACCTGTCTTAAATCCTGTACATGTTGGTCGAGATTATCACTAGTAATAATGATATCGTCTAAATAGATAAATGTGGACTTTCCAAGAACAGGTCTTAACACAATGTCCATGCATCGCTGAAATGTTGCCGGGGCGCCTGAAAGGCCAAACGGCATACGCAAAAATGCATAAGTGCCAGACTTGGTTATAAAAGCAGTCTTAGGCACGTCCTCAGGCCTGAACCCCTATTTGAAAATAACCAGTCGTTAAGTCTAAAGTCGTCATAAATTTGGTTGATTTTATGTTCCTTAAAATTTCTTCTATGATCGGTAACGGATATACCGGATATTTCGTTATGGAATTTAATTTACGGTAATCAATAGCGAATCTCCACCTTTTTGGATGCTCCAAAGGATAATCATTATTTTTCTTACATAAAACCACCGGGCTAGCATAACTACTTGAGATGGGCGTTATGATCTTTTTACGTAGCATATCGGTAATATGCCATTCTATAATTTTTTCCTTATTCTTATCATACCGGTATGGTTTTTGACGAACTGGCAATGCATCTCCGGTGTCAATACTATGGTTAGTAACCTGAGTAAATCCTGGAATATCACTAAATAACGAAGCAAATTCACTTACCACTTGTCGGATTCTATCTTGCTCGTCATTAGGCAGGTGGTCAAGATTTAACCTTGGCGGTTCAACCTTTTCTACACGCACTGGTTTCATTGTCAGCTTAAGGGACGCTTCATTAAAATCCAGTGTAGCTTGTGCGTCTGAAAGAAAAGTCTATTCCTAAGATTAAATGTGCTTGCAAATTCTTTACTATAAAAAACATCACCTTTACTTGTTCGTCCTTGATACGGATATACAAAGGTACTTTACCTACGCACTTACATTTTCTCCTTGCGCCGCTAATACTGTCGTATTATCCGCATTATATATGCGGTATTTGCGAAAATACTTTCTAAAAAAGACTTCTGCCACACAGGAACACTGCGCGCCGGTATCCAGGAGTGCGGTGGCCGGGATATTATTCACCAAGACTTCAATCTTCGGAAGAGTCAAATTTTTCACCATTACTGTATTTAACTTGTAGGAAGAGGGGTTTTCGTGGCCTTCGGATTTCCGCACCCTCCTCGTCAGCAGAAATCCGTTTTAGTTTAAATTATTTTTCCTTTCCGGTGCTTTCCTTCTTTTCTCCACTGGCCTTGAGACTTTTTTCCTGGGTTGCTATTGAACTGTCGACGTTCGCCGGCTGTTTTTGAATGCTCGGGTTTCCTTGCCCACTGATTCGCTTTTTCTCCGTAGCCATGTGCTTGAGTTTGCTGTAGTCTTGGCGTACCAAATTGGTTTCGCTGTTGATATTGGCGTCTTCTTTCGACGTCCGCCGTTCTTCTACTTTCAAACTGGATTGCTAGCTCAAATAACTTTTCCAGTGTAGTCGGATTTCTTAATTCAATAAAGTCTTGCACTTGGGGTAGTAACCTCGGCAAAATCACTTGAATTATTTCAGGATCCGGACGGTTTCCATACAAGAGCTTGAAAACGTGAATTTTTCTTAAAATAAAGCTCGAGAGGTTTTCGATTCTTTGTTGATATATACTGAAAAGTTCCGTTTCTAATTTCGCACGATCCCTTACAACAGGGAAGGCTTTTAGTAGGGCAGTCTTGAAATTTTCGTAAGTATAGGTGGGACTTCCTGCTTGACCCAAGAGACTTCTGCCGATACATTTGAACCAGTTAAGCGCTTGGCCCCTCAAAGCGCTGGTAGCTAAGGTAACTTTTTGAAACTCGTGCACGGGGTAGAGCATGAAGTGGTCATCCAATTTTTCCAAAAAACTGGTTACCGGTGAGTTTCCATTAAACGTTGCTTCTGGTTTCATCGAAGCGCGCATGGTCTGGACGATGTAACCCAAATCCTTCCAGGGCGGCAGCTGGCATTTCTGGATTCTGAGCCGTTTCTGCAGGCAGCACAGGTTCTTCTTGAAACTCGGCCATGGTTATTCTTCTTCGTTCGGGCGCCACTATCAGGTTCAATGTTTCTTCTAACCTTCTTCGGGAAACATACAATGACCTGACTAGGAACAGAGAGCTTACTAAAGCTATGTTCACTAATTGTAGTAAGTAGACAGGATACAGACGAAGGGTATACAAAACCCTTTATTTTTCTTTATATACAATGACTTCCGTACTTCGGAATACAATGACCCTCCACTCGGGGTATAACGTACAAGATACCAAATAAAACTAAACTCTAATTTAACTTTAGAATAAGATTGGCCTTATAATAACAGGAAGCGTATGTAGCACAGAGACTGTGAACACTACAATACGTTTAATTTATCAAGAGGATTAAAACCTCTGGCCTGGAAGGCAAATAGCAACTGCGTAACTTCTAAGGTAAGCGGCCTGCTTCGAACTCACTGCTTCCTCTCTCTGCTTGGCAAAAAGGCCACACTTAAATACTTGGCGTTCGCCAGACAAACTTTGCATAAAAAATCCTTCACGCTTATAATTCTGGCCGGAAGTAGAAAATAAGAAGTGATAGTAAAGATTTAAAATAAAATAAACGTTAGTAAAACTTAAGATCCTTACAATGTAAATGCACGGTAAAATGTAAATGCACAAAATAATGCACGTAATATTGCCTGAACAAATAATTATATATTACGTGATTAAGACAGGAATGAATTACTCATATATGATACATGAATATTTATCTGCTAACTTGGTAATTGCCCATATACACACGATTTACATGCTGGCCCGGATCAAGACTTTTAGAGGCCCTAAGCACATAAAAGATTTTGGTGTCTCCACATACATTTATTTCCTCATTCCTTCTCTCTCGATTTTGGTTTAGTTGCAGCATATATACCATAATAAAACCGGAAACAGAAAATATTTTTGATGTTCCCTTTCAGTTCTGTTTACATGCGTGGTATTACAGTGGTATTGAAGGAGAGGGAGTTTTCACAGAATAGTTTCTGATTCCAGGCTTACTAGATTCCATAACACTAAAGTGATCAAGGGAAAGTGGCTATTTGTGTCTTAGCATAAAAGCATAAGTAAAGTGATCAAGCTACTGGTATGTTAGCATAAATAAAGTGATCAAGTGGAAGCGCTATTTGTGTGTCAGCGTAAAGATAAACCACGAAATACAGTGGCTGATCTTGGAAACATTTCAACAAAGTTGCTATCTTAGTAATAATCCTAACGAGACGGGGGAAATTATTTGAGAAGATTCGGATTATTACAAATTTTGTTCATTTCCATGCTATAACTAATGCTTTGATGCCGCGCGGACGGGAAAGTGGTTGGCAACTCTGACTGCATAGTGTGTTAGAAGGGCCCGTATTCGAATCCCAGAGAAGGCATGGATGTAATTTGACCGTCCCTTCAACGGTGGCTCACCTATTAGGTGCCTCCATAATACAGAGACCACCGCATCTAGCCTTATAGTGGCCAACGCCTAGAAACAGCTACAACTCGCCATTGGGGAGGGGGACTATTGCTTTGATTACTATTATAATAACAAATATCCCAACCACATTTTCTTTTTAAAAAGAAGCAAATTCAGTATTAATAAAAGCAAAAGCAAACATTTCCTTTTAATTTAACATAAATGCGTACCTCCATTTTACGATGACATCTGGGTTACATAAATCAGTCAACGGAAAGAATAGCACTGGAAGAGCATTTTCATTCAGCATATTCATTATGTACATGGAAACAGTCTGCTCCATCAAATTCATCTAGAAAGAAAACATTAAATAAATTAATAAAAATAAATTCGAAAATAAACAATTATTAAAGGTAATATATCTTCATTGAAGACTCAAACCATTTATGATGGAGCAATATTTTAGCTTTAACGTTTTAGTGCATACTAACTGTAGATAATAATTTCGGTGAAGCAGTCATAATTCGCTCATCTGGGCAACTTAAAAAGCCCTGGTTCTGATTCATCAATCGAAGCAAATCTTTAGACTGAAGTCCAACTCCCTCTACACACTACCCACGTAAAATCCTTGGGTAAACAATGCTGAAGACCAGCGTGGCGTCCTTTCTATGAACACTGTATATAAAACAGAACAGTTTAAAGCAAAAGCATAAAAAAGGCGAAACCTTATTTATAAAAATAGGCCAGTGTATAGGTCGAATTCGTCAAAGCATGTTACAGTAAATATCTTTTTTTTTTTTTTTAATCTAACTTCAGTACCTTCACATGCGTATGAAAAGATTATGGTCTTGATTAGTAGAGTAGGCAAACAACTATTCATGTTAAGTTCGTAAAATATTATGCTTAAAATACAATTCTGAGCTTTGTTAATTGGCGGTATTCCCTTCTTCAAATGGAAATACCACAGAGTTTGACAAAAGCCAAATCGCGGTGAGCAGATGATTGTGTCAAAGCATTTGTAAGGACGCATTCGAAGCAGGGCTGTATTAACAATTAAGCAATATCAGCCCGTGCTTAAGACATCAAGGAAAGGGAGCACCACGAAAAGGTCCGTAAGTGTTTCGAAAAGGAGCACCAAAATATTTCCCACTGCCGGCTTTACAAAGGTGTGCATAGTGCTGCTAAACCAAAACTTAGATAAGATAATGAAGGAATGAAGAAAAAAAAACGGGCGTACACATATATGGGGGCACCAAAACTTTTAAATGCATAGTGCTTTTAAAGGTTTTAATTTGGCCCTGGTCCGAAGAGGGTTTACCTTAGACTTCGCTATCTTCAAGATGTGGAAATAGTAAAAAAGAGGCAAAAAGCTACATTCAAGAAGAGGTAAAAATTGCAAATCACAGTAAAAAATGAATTGCCTACAGTTTATAGATACTAGAAACGAGCGAAGGCTATTTCGTCTTTCAGTCTATTTATAATAATAGTCTATAACAACTTAACAGAGTACATAAGAAAGTGCAACATGCTAAAAATCCAATCCTGCCGAAGAGAAAAAAATGTCTTCAAGTAAAGTACATTAAACATCGCTGAAGCCGCCCAACCGGTATAGTGGTTAGCGTAGCTGACTGCCGTGCCGAAGGGCCCGGGTTCGAATCCCGGAGAAGGCATGGATGCTTGTAAATTTATAGTGTCGGTTCGTCATAGCAGCACTGTAAATATACGGCGAGCCGAAAGTCTTCTCGTGTGGTTTGGTGGAAGGGGAGAGGGGTAGGAGACCCTTACTCGGATCCATCCCTCTGGGGTATTCTCCATCAAAATTGGGGGCGAAACTGAGCTAAATTGCACTGTCATCTCTTAGGTGCTCAAGGCTGTTGCCAATGACAGGCGTAGTCTAGCGCTTCTTGCTACGGGAAATTTCACGGGCTTGTGCTGACTACGTCAGACAAGTGAGCATAAGTAGCAACAACAAAACATCACTGAAACTAGTTTTGCTATAAACTGTTACGAGTGGTCTTTTAATTTCATTTATTAGGTTAGGTTATTTGAATATGGTGAAGGCACGAGGGCTACCTCCCTAAGAGGAGGCATATCTTCATGGAGCACTTTCTGATAGAAACTGACTCAACACATGGGGAAAATCACGAAACGCAACTAATCATGCAGCTAGCCCGCTCGCCTGGGATTTAACCAAACTAGGTCGAACTACTAGTGGTCAGTGGTCTTAAACACTCGGATACGCATGGGGCACCATTTAGAATGTACAGATTGGATACACTTTTGTTTAATCTCGAAAAATACTAGCACCATAAGAAACTGCAAACGGAAACAAGCTGATAAATGAAGTTTAATGTCTTGATATATTGATCACTTTTCCGTTTGGAAAGTACTGGTCCAGCAGTTCCTATGCAGACAATTTTTCTCATCTATCATATTCGGGATCATCGAAAATGATGAAGCTGATTTTAGGAAGTTTAGTTGTAAAATGTTTAATAAATTACATTTCAAAATAAACATGAAAGTTCAAATTATTTCCCCGATGTAATAAATTAATTTTAATGCATAACAGGAAATTTCAAAATGGTATTCTGTTTCTATCCACGTATTCAAAACGGTATTCTGTTTCTATCCACGTATGCTGTATCAGTCTAGTGTGATTGTGGCGACAGGACAACGGTTGGCGATGGTTCTATCTCCATGGTGGATCAGGAATTTCTCAGGTATACAGTTCTCAGGTTTCTCATATCTTACGCTTATTACGATTATTATGTTACTATTACAAAAAAAAATGAGCTCAAAAGTCTAGTATCCACGATAAAATGAGCTACCATTATTTTGAGAAACGAACAGATTTTTCAAAAAGAGGATTCACGAAACATTAATTCTTTTAAAGAAAGTTGTAAAGTCGTATTATACATTTGGCAACAACGATGTTTAGAAGTATAATCGTCAGAGCAAAATTTAGTAATTTATATAAATGCACTAGTAATTTAATGTGATGACATAGAATATGATGATGCAGTTGGCACAGAAAGATGTAACAGCAGTCATGGCCGTTTGAATATTCCTTTATTTTTGAATAAAACACTTTTAAGTTTAAAATGAACATCTCAGTTAGGGCAAGACACGTGTGCGTTTTTCAATAGTTATACGCGTGTTTTTCATATGTTTATGTTAATATATTTGTAATAAGATAGAGAAGAAGCTGATGATATTTCAACAGTACAAAAATACATTGCTTAGATTATGATACTGGAATTAGATTTATAATAAAAAAAATTAGAAATAAAAGTTCTGCTTTAATTTCTATTCAACAGTTATAAATTCTAGTTCGAGTATGATTTTTGCGATGCCAGCTTCAATAAATCCAAAAAAGAAGTTCCCAAAATATGATCAGCGTCAAGCATTTTTTTTTTTTTTTTTTTTTTTTCCAGGGAAACAATGAATATCTCAAAGTTGTTAGCGTACATGGAATTTCTTTTTATCTTGAAACACTGAATAAGAGCTGATTAGTAAAAAGCTGGAAAAATTTTGTAACTTATTTTAACACAAACGACAACTGAGAATGCAGAAAACAGCTATCAGTTTGATAATAAGTTCAATAAATTGCAATCGATTGTAAGACTAGAAGGATCTCGTGTTCTGGTGAGGCTTAAAACACTATAGAAAACTGCTCCTTAACCCCTTTAATGATGACTGGAAAGAAAGAGGAGGATGGAGATTAGTATGGGAAAGAAAGGAGAGGGGGGGAGTGGAAATGGAGGGAAAGGCAAGAAGGGTATAGTCCCGCCTCGAGTCCAAGATTTTTGCTTTTGAACTTGATTTATTAATTTTTTTAATTATTCTTTTAAGTTACAGATAAAAAGAAAAATTATAAACACACAAACTTTACATCAATTTAAAATTAATTTTAGGAATTTTTAGTCCGTCCAGATCTTTTATCGATGGGGATGAAAATGGTAAAGGGATGGGGAACGTAATCAGGATACGACTGGAACGGGTCAAAGTTTGAATGACAGAACATAATTTTTGTAATTTAAAAAAAAAAAAAAAAAAAAAAAAAAAAAAAAAACGAATTCATATAACTTACAAATAAAACAAAACTATAAAGGTAAATCAATCAGTTTTAAATTAATTCAAATTGACTCAGATCGCGAAATCGCTAAAGCAAAAGCGATGGTGTCTCATCTCATTATTACTACTCCAACAATCGTTTACATTAACCCCGACATAAAGGTGTCCACATCTTCATGAAAGTTGCTTTTGTCAAGTTAAAAATTTAACGTCATAATGATGAGTGCATATTACGTCAATTAGGAAGGTTTCTGTCTTTTCAAAACAGCGCTCGATCTGCAAATGGGTGCAGGCATCTTTATGAAGGCATCTCCGTGGCCAGTCACGGAGAGCAAACCTGTTGCTTGCATGAATTTGCCTACGAGGTCTTCAGTTTGCTTCGCTGTGATTAGTTGGTTTTTATACACTGGTGTGCAAAACTTAAGCAACAGGTGTTCTTTTTGGCATAACTCCACGAGAAATCATCTGAGAAACATGAAATTCGGAATTAAGAGACATCATTTTGTATTTAAACGATGACGAAAGCATAATTGCTCTAAAAATAAATACAATGCATACAGTATGGAATCAAACAAAAAAAAGGCTTTATTGAACTCATAGTATCGTTACACATGATTGTCTGTACAAGAGGAAGAACAACAAGCAGGTATTCCTTAGTATGGGATATGCCCTCCCCTTACTGCAGTGGTTGCTTCGAACGGTCTCTCCATACTCAGCCCCAGATTTTCCAACAGATCTTGAGGTAAGAGTGCCCATTCCTCAATCAGCATCTGTTTCAGTTGTTGGGTGTTCCCCGGAGGATGTAATCGTGTCACAGGCGTCTTCCCAAAGCATCCCACACAATTTCTATGGGATTTAAATCAAGGGAGCACGCTGGCCAATCCATTCGAGTGATATCTTCATTTTTCAGTAGCTTCTGAACAGCAAGAGTCTGGTGTGGCCGTGCATTATCAACGATAAAAACGAAGTCTGCTCCAATGGCACCTCGAAACAGACGCACATAGGAAAGGATCACCTCCTGACGATAGCGTTCTCCGGTTACAAAACTTCTGTCGAAAACGTGGAGCTCCGTCCGCCCGTTCAGCATAATGCCTCTCCAGACGAGATCTTCAGGACACCGTAACGGTCTCTTTCCGTAATGTTACTGAGATTAAACCGTGTCTCGACATCTCTCCAAATCAATTTGTGTTGAGAATCGCTTGTGGCACTAAAACAATTCTCATCCGTAAGGAGGATACGACTCCATTGATGAGACGTCCAGTTTTTGCGCTCCTTGCGCCACTGTAAACGGCCGATGGCCAACTTTCAAAGAGATGCAGCAGGATGCAGAACGGCAGGCGCATAAGCCACCTTTGTGAAGGTGTTTGGACACAGTAAACCACGACAATTGTCGCCCGTTGCTGTTCACACTTGTTGAGCTGTAGCGCTTGCTGACTGGTTTCGGACTCTTTTCGTCTGCAGGACTATATATCGGTTATTTGCTGCAGTCGTTTTCCTGAGACGGCCACCACCAACTTTTCTAACAGCTGTACCTATGGTATGGAAGGCTTTCTAAACACGCGAAACGCCACTTTGTTGATTCCGAACTCTTCAGCTATACTGGTCACACTTCGCCTTCTACTCCAGATTTTCGATCATTCTTCCACGTGTGTCAGATCATTTCTTCTAGCCAAAATATTTCACGAAAGAACTCCTTGTACTTGCAGCGAATGTCTTTAATTGCATCTCCATCCTTCTTTTTATGGTAATCTCGAGTTGAGCGCGCCGACCGTACGCGTTTTGCGTACGCTCACGTAGCCTGTGACCTTTTTTTCTTGACATTTGCATACGCATGACCTTTCTACTGAATTGTGTGTTCATTGTACTGAACGCAAGAACCCCTTTTCTACAATTTCATGGTTATCTGATTAAAATTTACATTGTTGCTTAAGTTTTGCACACCAGTGTAACATCTTTTCCCAAAGGTTAAAGATTAGAAAATTTAGGCAAAATGCTATACTAAGTTCACAAACAGAACAAGGACTCGTTGCATGGCAACGACTTTCAGTATATTCTATTTATGATAGTTAAGCTATAGCGTAAAGCTCTCTGATGGGCGCTGAGTTCAAACCTGCTCCATATTACAGTTTCACTTGGCGTTCTTATTCTCTGAGTATATTATATTGGAACGTATTTTGTGACTATCAAGTATATTTATGAAATTGAATATTGAAATTAATTTTCGAAAACTTAACAAATAGGGTATTGTTCTAAATTTCTTCTCTCTTAGTAGAATATTTTTTTAGATTCCTCATTTCTCAAAGAAATTACATAATTTCTCAAAAAATGAGAAAATGAAAAATTTATATTTATAGAAGAACTTTCGAAGCCAACTTCTCGAGAAAAATATTATTTTTAATTATACTTTTATTCACTTAATAAGGCCCAAAAGAAGAGGATTTACAATAGTACTTAAAATACCTCCTGTATTAAAAAAATTAAGGAGTAATTCAAGTTTTAAAACTATACACCTACTTCAAACGTTGTGATATTTATTAGAGGGCCATCGTAATCATTCCCATATAATTCCCATGCAGATGACTGGTTCACAGCCTTCTCCAGATGCAAAAGAGCGTTATATATAGCCGTCTCGTGTACTTGAGGAGACTTCTTTTCATTATGCCATTCCATAAGAGTCAAAAGGTCACTGAAAAAACGTAATTACAACGCATTTTTAATTTTATAAATACTATAACTCATAAACACAGCTGAATATGTTTTCTAATTTATGAAACTTATTCAATAAATCCAGATCAAAAACAAAAGTAAAACTTTATAACAATAATAATTAAATTACGTGATTAAGGTACACAGAACACTTATTATATGAATTTGCATTTTATCTGGAAATTCCACGCCCCTCGCACAAAGCGTTATTGCTGTCTTTGGTTTAAAATTAACTCCAAGAATATATTTATTTAATTAACTTCAAGAATATATTTATTTATTTAAGTTAACGTCTCAACACTTGACTTCTCATAAGTAAATGTACAGCCTATTCCTTAATCTGGCAATGCATATATCGACTTGTACTCTATGAAAGGCTAGTAATATAATACTTAATACGGGTTATTTTCCATTTAAAAGCGAGAGAAAACTTATTTTATTTCCACTCTATTTCAATAAAGAAATATTTTGCATGGACTACAAATCATTTATCCTGGACGGCAATTAAAGGATCACTTTAATTCTGTATAGAAAAAACCCGATGCCCAATCACAAGCCAATCAAATACCCAAAACTGCGTGAGTCAAAACGTTCCCTGATACTACGTGAAAGCTGTATTTTATTTTATTTTTCATTTGGGGCTTATTATCATATAACGGAACTATCCATGCCAAAGAACACAGCGGTACTAAAAAATTTTCCATGGGAGACTAGCTCTTGTGGCAAGATTTTCTGAAACTATGGGACATTTTTTTTTACTACTTGGCCAATACGTAACCATAATGGAGTTCAAATTCAGAGCAAAATCCCAAATTCACATTATCTACGTCACGACGAAATCTGGGAAAGTCCTGAAGGAAAAGATGAGAAACACAAGTAACGGGAAAAAGGATTAACTGAAGGCTCTTACTTTAGTAGCATGATAAGAATTCCTTGAAAAAATTGCTGCTATGCCGAGGAGTATTATTACAGAAAAAGAGCCTAGGATGCAATTTCATCTGTTCGAAAGTTTAAATTTATTGCATTTTAGTTTAACAGGAGCAATATTTCGAGGCATGTGTGTGTGTGTGTGTGTGTGTGTGTATTTAATTATGGCAAAGCACACTAGGGCTATCTGCCTAAGGGGAGGGATGCCTTCGTGGAGGAATTTCTAAGGAAAACTGGCTCGTATACACGTTACACATGGGGAAAACCACGAAAAATCCCATGCAGCCAGCCTGTCCGCGGAGTTCGAACCTCGGACCGAACTACCAGTGTTCAGCGACTTTACCGCTCGGCCGCTGGTGGGCCTTTCGAGACATGTCTCTATATATAATTGTTGGAGTGTGATTTTGTATGACTGATGTTTTAATAAGAGATGCTTTAATTTCTTTCTTTTAAGACTTATTTAGTCAAGTGTCTCGCTCAGACTAGATCATATTGGATTGGATTGGATTATTACTTCCTTGTACGAAGTAAAAAGGAAGTATTGTAATCGCGAAAGGTTTCAGGCAGCATATTTCAACGAAAATATCCATTTTGACCGCTATCGAATGCAATTTAACGATGTTTCTGCGTGATACTCTTTTCCTTCAAAAAAATTATAAAACTGCTTTAAAATTAATTCTGAAGAGAAATTTTCGTGGCGTCTGTACGAACGTATGTACGTACGTGCGTAAGTACGTATACGTACGTATCTCGCATAACTCAAAAACGAGTAGCCTCAGAACGTTGAAATTTTGTATATAGGACTGCTATAACATGTAGATGTGCAACTCGTATTTTGGCTGCAATCGGCCGCACCAAACGTATATAAATATATTTATATATATATCTACTCTGTTACCCGGCTCAGTGATCTTTACTCTTTTATGTTTGTAAATTGTACATTTTTTGCATTAAAAATGATTGTATTATGTTGTTTTTATCTTCCGGTTAAGGTTTTTATGCCTTTAGTAAATCTGTATGCAATATTTTGAGAATTATCAACAATTTTAAAGTTGTCTAAGTGTCGCTAAGCCTTTTTTATATGGCGGCCATTTATGTTTCCATTTGAAACAGAGACTGGTGGATTTGTTGCCAATCTAGAGAAAACTTAGCTTCGCAACAATAAAGATAACGCATTCATTTATTATTGCCAATTAAATCATGCTTAATTCTTTCTGGAATTTTTTCGAGGAAATAAGTGTTTAAGATTTACTTCGTAATTTTTAATATAGATATTTTGAGTTTTTATACATTTTTGCCTTCTCGCGAAGTGAGAACTGAATTAATTGAATGAGAAATACTGAATCGCCTGTGAAAAACTGTTTCTTTTTTGTTTGCTTAATTTTCTTTTATACATCATTTTAGCTTTATTACAGTATTTGAATAGAACATGTGGCAACGATTATATAATTCTATTCTTTAAATGATATAAAATTTGTGCATTATGAGTTATAACATGAACGAAATATAAGTTAACTGTTATATAATTATTGGATTATATAACACTTACTTAGTTTCCGTTATATAATTATAATATAAGTTAACTGTCATATAATTATTAATACTGTTAAGTGAATCTAACGTCAGAGTGTCGCAAAAACAAATACTAGAGTGAGTTTTAAAGAATGCATTTATTCTATTGTGGTTTATGCGCTGTCGGCGAAGTAAATTTAATTCAATCCAATAAGTTTAAATGAAATGAAAGAAAAAATGCGTATAATTTAATATTTCGTACAAGGAAGTCATGTCGTGTACACATCAGATTTTTTAATTACGTCAAAGCACGCGAGGACTATCTGCCTAAAGGGAGGGATGCCTTCGTAGAGGACTTTCTAAAGGAAACTGGCTCATACACGTTACACATGGGCAAAACAACGAAAAAGCCCATGAAACCATTCCATTCGCGGGATTGGAACCTCGGACCGAACTACCAGTGTTCAGCATCTTTACCGCTCGGCCGCTGGTGGTCAGACTAGATAAGAAATTGTATAGCAAGCGACGTAGGTTAACTTACTAGGATGTAATCTTAACTGGTATCTCGGTAGAATTCTCTTGGTTGTATCGCCTCTGCAGTAAACAGCCGTCAACAAAGAGGGGCCTGTACCTATCTGCCATCAAAATCGATTGAGATCTTGGCTAAATCTATGCTAAACTCAAGGTTGTTGCGTCACTGATTTTATGTTTCATTTGATGTGTTCCTTTTCTGTTTTCAAGTTTTAGATGGTTTTAACTCTTTTAGAAGTTATTAAAGTTTTGTGCCTCTTATTTGATCCTTTTGTAATCCATAGCTCAAATGAAGTTTCTTACTTATTAAATAATTTTTCTTGTAAATTCCAATGAGTCTTTTATCCTTATTTATCCCTGTACCCTATTTATGACCACAACATGTGGAATGAGTTGTAAATTTACTGCTACAGGAGGGGTGTTTTGGCGGCGTTGATAATATATGCACGGAACACAGGCCACAACAAGAAACCTTTTCGTGAAGATAATTACAATAATATGAACAGTGATTTTATTCCAACATCTATCCACAGTATTCTATATACGCATAATGAAACTTTGTAAATTTGAAAAATTACACTTATTATTATTCCAAATGCAGATATATTCTGTCTCTTTAGATTTAACATACCAAAATAGACAGCATTATAGGGAAATCCTCGTGTGATAGAACGTGCATGTGTTTACCAATATAAATTTTTTAAGTTGACGCCCAGACCAGAAAGTGTTCTTTAAGCCTGACTGCCGTAGAGAAAGGTTCGGGTTCGAATCCTGGAGAAGGCATGGGTGTAATTTGTTCGTTCCTTCATAGGAGACAATGGTGGAATACCTGTTGTGTGCCTCCATAATAAAGGCATCACCGCTTCCGGCCTAGTAGTGGCCAATGCCCATAAACGGTTACACCCTGCCACTGGGAAAAAATAATCAATAAATAAATTTAAGTTTCAGCGCTTTAACTATTCAATCCGTTTTGTGAATAAACTGAACTGCCATAGTGTTTGCATTAAAAACTTATTAATCACCTTGCTATATTAATAACGAAGGCAATTCCTGGCCCAAAAAAATTCAATATAAACTAAAAATGGTGCTGAAATCCTTTTTCATCATTTTCTCATACATTATAAACTTACTCCAACTGAAGGATTATACTTACGCTAGTGCTTCGGAGAATGCCGATACATTATTTTTCGTACAAAACTCCGCAAGGTTTTGTCTAGTATTTTCTGACAGCCTTCCATCAAAGCTGTTTTTCTAGAATTTGTAAAAGAAAAAAGAGCTTTAGGTTGATGCTTTCATTCAAATCCTAAATCAAAGAAATATGTGATGCTGAATATGTGCGATACTTTTAGATAACATTTTGCAAATCAAAGAAGAGAATATTAAAAATTTTCTTCAAAAACAAAAAATAAAAAATAGTATAGCTATTATGTATCATGTAGATCGCCTTTTTTTCTGTTAATTATCAACATCGTTGTTATGACTAGAATATGTTATTCTGGGTATCCTTCATCAACACTTGAGTAGCAAAAGTGCAAAGAATTATGCAGTATTAAAACAGAATCTTTTTTTAGGTGTCATAGGTATCTAGAACTGTTTTAGGTGTTCCTTACAGCTCTTTGATATTATTCAGGGTCTATGAGTCATTGATGTCATACTCGCGAATAATACTGGTCGGGAAGAGTAAATCTTGTACTATAAGAACCCCGGACAAAACCATTACAATCCCATGCAGGCAGCAGTTCGTCTTCAGAAAGAACTTCAAATGCTCAACGTGTACATCTACTGTCATTTGTTTCTCCTACCATTCCAATTTTCTAATCAATGAATACACAGCTATTTATATCAGCTTCAATGTGACGATTACTGAGAGGATCACATACAAGATATTGACAAGATCGGCTTTTGACAAATATTTTATTTTTATTTTTCTCAATATGATTTGTCGTAAAAAGCGATTAATGGGTAAAATAAATATAATTCATATCACGTTTCTTTCGGTAATATAGCAATAACTTCTCTTTGGCACTGTGTATGTGTGAGTTTACGTGTATCCGAAGACTTCCCCCTGTTCTACCAATTTTTTCCCGTCTTTTTTTTAATTCCTTATATACCATTTTTTTTTAATATGCAAATCTCCGTTTCGTATTCTCCAGTGTACTTCCAACATCCCTTACATGTTACGGGGTGATTTTCAAAACAGTTTGCGCACTTTTCTTCCTCCATCGTTTTTTCCTTAAGCAAACACTCGTATGATAAGAGTTTTCCTATTTAAAGCACTTAGACTAATAGTTATTGCGTTCGAAACGGTGACGTTTAAGGCAATGGTAAGCCTATACTTTGAGTTGCACGATTAGATTTTAGTGAAGGAGGAATTTTTACTCTTTTTTGACGGCAACATTGCACTTTTTAAGGTCTACCTGTCAATACCTTGTATTGTGGTGTCACGTGGCAGTTCGTGCATAACCATTTAATCGCTTTGTCTGACCTTCAAAAGCATGAGTGATAGAAAACTAATTTATTATAAAATTTCTTATTAACTTTCTCGATTATTCGACCGAAAACAATGAAATGATTATGCATCATTTTCTGCATTTCAATTCACATTTGATCAATTTAAACATCAATTTCTAATGGTGCTATTAGGGGCTATGAACAAGGGCCATGAAATTATTTTTGAATTATGAATTCGTTTTGATCCTCTGAGTAGTCCTTTATAAATATTTCTACCTAGCGTTTCGCATTTATTTATATTTAGAACATTTGCTCGCCCTGAACAGCTAAGTATTCTCTGAATCTATTTTTAAGTTTCCTGTAATTAAGTATACTATATTTAATCTTTGGCTGTAATTAAGTATAATATATTTAATCACAGTGTATTTTTACTTCCTTGTACGAAGTAAAAAGATGTATTGTAACCGCGAAAAGTTTCAAGCAGCATATTTCAACGAAAATATCCCATTTTGACCGCTATCGAATGCAATTTAACGATGTTTTTGCGTGATATCTGTGCGTAAGGACAGAATAAAAGACTCTTTTCCTCCAAAAAATTATAAAACTGCTTTAAAATGAATTCTGAAGAGAATTTTTCGTGGCGTCTGTACGAAGGTATGTACGTACGTACGTATCTCGCGTAACTCAAAAACGAGTAGCCTCAGAACGTTGAAATTTTGTATATAGGACTGCTATAACATGTAGATGTGCAACTCGTATTTTGGTTACAATCGGCTGCACTAAACGTATATGATATATTTTTATATATATATATATCCACTCTGTTACCCGGCTCAGTGATCTCAGTTTCTTTACTCTTATATGTTTGTAAATTGTACATCTTTTGCTTTAAAAATGATTGAATTATGTTGTTTTTATCTTCCGGTTAAGGTTTTTATGCCTTTAGCAAATCTCTATGCAATATTTTTAGAATTATCAACAATTTTAAAGTTGTTTTAGTGCAGCTAAGCCTAATCCTTTTCTTGATGGCGGCCATTATTTGTTTACATTTGAAACAGCAGACTAGTGGATTTGTTGCCAATCTAGAGAAACGTAGCTTCGCAGCAACAAAGATAACGCCTTCATTTATTATAGCGAATTAAATCATGCTTAATCCTTTCTGGAATTTTTTCGGGGAAATAAGTGTTTAAGATTTACTTCGTAATTTTTAATATAGATATTTTGAGTTTTTATGTATTTTTGCCTTCTCGCGAAGTGAGAACTGAATTAATTGAATGAGAAATACTCAATCGTCTGTGAAAAACTGTTTCTTTTTTGTTTTGTTTGCTTAATTTCTTTTATACATCGTTCTAGCTTTATTATAGTATTTGAATAGAACATGTGGCAACGATTAGATAATTCTATTCTTTAAATGATATAAATTTTGTGCATTATGAGTTATAATATGAAAGAAATATAATACTGTTAAGTGAAGATAGCGCCAGAGTGTCGCTATGGTAAACAAATACTAGAGTGAATTTTAAAGAATGCATTTATTCTATTGTGTTTTATGCGCTGTCGGTTTATGCGCTGTTACTTTCTCAAGTAAATGAATTTCGTTATGTTCCTATGGCTTCTGCCATATAAACGAAAGGGGTTAATTACAGATTTGACCATTACTTCACACTGCGAAGATATTACTAGAATCTTTATGTTGTAAACCGGGCGTGTCAAACTGGCGGCCCTTGGCATATTTTTCTGCGATCATCGTCACCCTCAGAAAATAACAGAAAGAATATACCTAAGTAATGTTAATAAATTTGGAATTACATCCCAATATCCGGGTATATATACAATCTCTAGTGCTATAAAGAATTCTTCAGATGGTCTTTCTTTACAAAAGTATTTTCTCAACTGAATTGAGAAAGTGCTCGCCCATTTATGGATGGAATTTACAGGAATTCAGTTTGACTCTAAAGGAAACATTCAATGAAGTGGGTATCTCCGTATTTTGCTAATGGCTGCCTGCATGTTACCCAGGAAGCTGCAGATTTTCATCTCGGTAACTTCCATGGTTAGTAATGCGCATCATTATGAACTGCTTTTCTCACATGACAAGGAAAAAATCTCCAACTAAATCCAAGTTAACATACTTCTGAAAATGATTAGAATAAGCAGCATGTCTCCAGACATTTCAAAGCTAATTGCAGATAAACAGATGTCAGGTGTTGGGAAAGATATAGATGGCATCCATCTACTACCAGGATTTCCTTATGTTCCTTCTATTTTTTAAAGAACTGCAGCATTTGGTAAGATTTTATGCATTTATTTATTTTTTAAATACATCATTAAATATGAAAAATGACATTTTTTGTCTTGTGGCTCTCTCTATTGTAAAATGATAACTATTTGGTCCGCTTGAGGTACTGAGTTTGACATGTTTGCCATAGACCATCAGTAGATCCAAAGCCAGAGCCATTACTAACATTTTCTGCAAATTTTTTACCAAGTTAACGTTTTTCAACCAAATGGAATAACTAAATAGAACAACTACTAACTACATTGCAAATGAAATAGTAAATCTTTAAATAGAAATGGTACGCCTGATGGGAAAATTTTGCACGTGAAGCCTCAATAGCCAACAGACGATTTATTTACTTAGCTTTATCTACAACTAGGCCTCATTAAACGGTTTGTCAAAAATAGTCGAAGAATAAATTCCTATCAAAAATGACAGGAGGTTTTCTGCTACCCTTTGATACTGTCAATAAACTCCCGATGCGGCTCTTATTGGACGCCGGGAGGGTGTGACTCAGCTAGATACTTGCGGGTACCGGACGATACACGATTTGTCACAGAAAGCAGTCCGGGTGTCCGGCCCTGCATTCACCCGTACACCTTCTACCCTTTGATGGATTGCAAGGAAAAATAAATGGCACATTTAGATTCAGAAATGTGAAATCTACATGAATCACTCTAAAATATTTATAGAAATTATACAGTGTATGCAAAGTTACAGTATAATATAAGGCTTGCAGTTTTACACTGCGAGAATTTTACTTAAAAACTAATTAATGAATACAAAAAAATTTTCTCAAGCTTTTTTAAAACTTAGTTATACTGCATATTTTTCAGCCCTCATAAGAAGAAAAATATATTATGTTGATCGTAAGCAGGTAAGATAAAAAATAAATAAGATAAAATTCTAACTTTAATTTGTAATATCTTCTTCAATCTCGTTTTTCGTTTAGTTACATCTTCCTTTCAATCTCAAAAATAGTAACATGCTTATAATAAATATCTCTTAATTACATCATTTCAAAGTTAATCCCTCTTATATGGCGCTCATTATACATGTTCTTGTATAATGAAAAAAGGGAAATAAAAGTCCTTTGCTCAATAATAATACTAAATTTTTAAAATCAGTACCATAATTAACCAATATAAATAAAGTAGAATCAAAACTCAACTACTTTTAATCTAGCATTCAAATATCGCATCCTATGCTTTCTTCTCTCGCTTACCTCTACTAAGGTGAACAGACGTCCCTCTTTTGGCGGGACCGTCCCGATTTTTAACAATTTGTCCCGCGTCCCGTGGCGTTTTAAAAGAGTCCCAATTTTTGGAAAGAATGTACGACAAGCTAGAGAATGGCGAGAGAATACGGTATTATTTTTGTTAATTTTGTAATTTTAAATTTTAATAATAACAAACAATTGTTGACAACTGATTATCGAGAACTGCACGTTCGCATTGTTGATCAGTTGTTAGAATTCGACCACCATTGTTTGGACTTATTGGCAATGACGAAAACATTTTGTAATTATCTCTCAGACTATACACATCATACCGCATGCTAGTGCTAGTTAAACAAGTGATCTCAACAAAACAGCTATTCAGATAATTTAGGTACGTAATTTATTTATTTATTTATTTTATAAACGCATTAATTTTCTTGAATTTAGCGGACAATACCCTTATTATTTATATTTTATAGTGGCGTCAAAAGATCTAGCGTCTCTGCCTTGAAACTGAAGCTTACAAATTACGCAAATTCAGAGAAAAAAATAATACAAGCTAGTACTGTTATTATTTAGAAAGAAATATAGCATTAAAATTTAAATAACTTTTAAAATATAGTTACTTTATAACAAACAAATGAATTTGATTTTTAAACTAACAATAAAATATGTTCATGTAGTTATATACCTACTTACTGTGTTTTTAAGCAATACATATACATAAAAATGTATAACATAATTTATAAATTTAGTATAATAAATTACTTCTTTGGATTTTTAACATAATGAGTAAGAACAGAGGATGCAAATTCAAAGATGATCTAAGAAGTGAATTTCCTTTTCTTAAAAAAAAAAAAAAAAAAAAAAAAAAAAAAAAAAAAAGATTACATGGCAAAATGTGAGAAATGTTAATGGTGAATTTTCTATTTCGCCCAGCTGGAAGAATGATATTTCAAAGCACTCGAGGACACAGAAACATAAAAGATATTTAAATACTGCATCTTCCTCCAAAATGCAGGAATTCTTTCGGAAAACAATTTATGGAGACGAAGAAGAGAAATTAGCATTAGCAGAAGGACTTATGTCTTTTCATGCTAATAATCACAACCATTCGTTCAGATATTATACATCACAAGTTGTCCAAAAGTTAATCAACAGAAAACGACAGCAATCTACTAAAAGAATTCACTCAAATGAAAATTATGCCAAAGAATAAAATAATACTATACGTAATTTTTAATGTATTAAATATTTTAAATTGTACTTATGTTGAAATTAAAAATATATATTACAATACTATTTTTGAGTTCTATGAAATTTATGTTGCTCCATATAAACCAAACTTTTAATCAAGAATCCCCCGCCCGGTAAATGGTGTCCCGCTTTACCAATGTTAAAATCTAGTCACCTTACTCTATACTGGCAACGTCATGTCTGCCACTTATGGTGTTCTTATGGTTAATTACGTTTCTATAGAATATATGAAACCTGTGCATATTTCTTATCGTGTTATTATCCAACGAGATATGCTTCAATTAAAATTATCTGTGAAAGCTTCATTCTGCAATGTCAACTTCACCATTAAAAATTATTATTACAAGCACGCCATTTTATAGTACTAAGAGTGATTACAATTCATATTCTACTTACATTTTTTATCTCCGAAGCTGAAGATTCCATTGCATTCTTTAACATATGGTAATAGATATCGATAAGTTCACCACCGCTCAGCAGCTGGATGCTATCATATTCTTCGCAGTCCTGCGGGGAGAAAAAAGGTATTACTGCATAAGTAATTATTTTATGTTACTTCACTTTTTAGCTTGTGCTTACTAGAATATTACTTTTCCATAATGCATATATTTAAATATAAAATTCCAAACATATATTTGTAAATTTTGTTCTCATCAAAAAATGTGGTTTCTCTTCTCAAATTGTAACGCAATCTAATAATGAACTTTTTTTAAAATTATAATCTCAACTTTACCGTAAGTTTCAAAGATGTATGATGGCATCTTGAGAAATTTAATCACTCGTTTAAATCTTAAGGAAGTACAAGATTAATCAGTGAGCTTAAATTGACACAAATACAACAGCAAAGTTCCATAAAACTTTACGTTCGCTCTAAACACAATCAACTGTTAAATCACTGTCACGAAATTAGAGATCATTCTGGCTGTATGCCAGAAACGAGTACGGGATCCACTAATGTTCTGAATTTTAATCAGTTTGATATCAACATTTGCACATTTAGATAATAATCAAAATTAGGCGTGGGAGCAGAAATGGCCGCCTTGGAGCATTCGCCCTCTCACTCGCATGTTATTTGCTATATAGGATATTGAAAAGACAGTATTTTCGCAAACAGTTTAAAGAAGATACAATCTGAATACTTTATAAACAGACGTTATTCGCTGTGACAGAGGAAAACAAAGCCACCTACGCTTAGACACAAAGAAGGAATTGATTTCTCACTAAATATCGTCTGCAGAATGGAAGTCTTTTTAGTTGGCTTCTGAATATCAAAACTATTTACTCGAAGTTTAATTGAAAATGAAAAATTTTAAATTGTAAATATAACAAAGAAGAGAAAGAAAGAAATTTTTAATGCAAGAATAAAATTGTTTGAAATCGGAATTCATAAAGTTTTCATAGATTCACAGAACGCGACAACAAAAATGCAACAGAAAAACAATCTGTCGTGAGGTAATTAAATTTAAATTAATTTCATTTACGATAATTCGGAACTAAAACAAGTTCAATTGTTTAAAGTTTACTAATTTAAATATTTTATAGGGTAACAAAATAAGTTTTAAGGGTAATGAAAAATAGCAATAAAAAGTATAAAAAAATGAAGTTAATAAATGTTCTCTACAAAGTTACCTAAAGGATCAATAAATTATTGTATTCTAAAGTAAATGTTGTAATTAAAGAAGTACTTACTAATTAAAATTAAAATTCATTTTCCAAAATTTCGTGATTTATTGAGTAAATTAGTAGCTAATGTAAAATTGAGTAAAGGAACATCTAATGATTCTAATGATTTATGTATTTTTATCTAAGAGGTTATTTCATGTTCAATACCATTCTCGCCATTTTCCTGTCAGTATGCTAATTTTTAGTTCGCGCAGATTCAGATGAGGAGAAAGAGATAGCATTTAAACGAAAGTTTTAGACTGTTGAATCAGAGCGTGTTCCGTCTGCTGAAAGCTTCGTTGCTAGTTGAATCTCTTCGATTGCAGTCTGTCTGAGGCGCTGAGTTATCCTTGCCATTAGAGTTAGTCACGCAACTCTAATGTGATTAGTTGAGCCAACCTGGGCCTTATTCTTTCTGTGTAGCCTTTGGCTAACATGCTACTTATTTTGAATTCATTATTTTTTAGCTACGCTATAAATGCTGGCTGCTTTTGTAAGTACAAGAAGTGCCTTATGTTAAATTAATGAATTTTAGTAAAAGGATCTTTACACCCTTTTTACGATCTCTATCTTTGTATTGGACACAGTGATAAGTCGCTTAACTTCAGCTTGAGTCTCGAAGTTAGTTAAATCTTCCGAAGAAGGTGAGACTCTACAAGCGTTACGAAAGAGTAAATACGAAACATTACATTATGAAGAGAGTTTCAGACAAGGACATGGCAAAGTAGTACCACTCTAGCAAAAATTTCTTTTGATTTGGCAAAAGCCCTTTACTTTTCGAATTAATTCAGCAATTTAAACGAAATGCACATACTTTAATTCAGTTTATAGCTTTGTTTTATATCTTAAAACTATTTCGATTACTTTATAAGGTATTTCTCCCACCTTCTTGGCGTGCCTTCGTGTTGTACTGGTTCTGCACGCTGGGCCGGTATTCCAGAGGTCCGTGGTTCGATTCCCGGTGAAGGCGATTGATAATTTTTCATCTCTCTGGCTTTTTCCAAAAAATACCTAATGTCTCTACAGTGGCGCCCAGACTAAAAGGGCGATGGATGATGACTCTCCACACCCAGGATTTGGTGATTGGGTCCCCTAAAATTCCCAGTCGCCCTTTAAAAGGGGGATTATATAAGGTATTTCTCCCACCTTCTTGGCGTGCCTTCGTGGTGTAGTGGTTCTGCTGGGCCGGTATTCCAGAGGTCCGTGGTTCGATTCCCGGCGAAGGCGGTTGCTATTTTTCCTCTTGCCTGCTTCCAATTAACCTAATGTCTCTACAGTGGCGCCCGAACTAAAAGGGTGGCGGATGATGATTTCTCCCCCCCCCCAGGATATGGCGATTGGGTTCCCTGAAAGCCCCAGTCGCCCTTTAAAAAGGGGAGTATATAAGGTATTTCTCCCGCTTTTCTAGCGTGCCTTCGCGGTGTAGTGGTTCTGCACGCTGGGCCGGTATTCCAGAGGTCCATGGTTCGATTCCCGGCAAAGTCGGTTGCTAATTCTTCATCTCTCTTGCTTCCAAAAATAAAAATACCTAATGTCTCTACAACTTGTAATTCATAATACATCTACTTCATGTTATTCATCTAGTCGAAAAATGTTAATGAACATTTGTGCCATTATTTTAATTAATAATCATACACAGAATAATCATATGAGACACAGCATAACACAGTCTCTTATTATATTAACGTCATATCTCATTTTTATCTCATACCTTATTGTTTTAATTTTTGTATATTATCGTTTTAACTTAATTATAACTTAATCATTTAACTTAATAATTTATCTTTTAATTTAACGCGTATTTAAACAACGTTTTACAAGACGGATCGCTATTTTAGGTTTAATTATTTCTCAACGCAATGTTACGCTCATAGATATTAAAGACATCTTAGATATGTTTGAAGATGACGGTGTGAAAAAGGCCACCCCTTTTCTATTTTCTTTCTAGCTATTTTATTATAATAACCAATATCTCTCCAATAATGATATTATTTCTTATGCATGCCCATTTAAATTTTTTTTCTCATTTATTTTAATAAAAGGTGTCACGCGACAATACGTTTCAAATTCTGAAAAATCTACTTTTTTTGAAACATATCGTAAACAGCTATGCAATTAATAGTTTTTGAAATATTTTGCCATACAATCTTTTCAAGCATCTTAAATAAGGATCTGAATTTACAATCAATTACCGTATAAGTCGGGATATTTTGGACAAAAAAAAAGACTTCAATGTGGGGGGGTCGACTTATACGCGGGGCCATAAAAAATTAGAAGAATCGAAAGTTCAAAAATTTCTTTATATAATGCAGTTGTTTTCTTCCCGCACTCAAATTGGACGACTTATCAAATAAGTCACTTACTTGAAGTAATTTCATGACTTAAATTATGTGACGAACTAATCACAGAGTTTCATACTTTAACTAGAGTAAGTTTCGATTAAACCAAAGAATTTTCGGCCCCCGAACAACCGATCAATATCGAGCAATAAAACAGTTTCGCCAACACGCCAAGAAAAGAGAAATGCAGATAGTTTTTATGTACGTATAAGTCTTTATTATAGCTATTGTTCATTCATGAAATACTTTTGTTAACAGGCGTACACGTCAAAATTTAAAAAAATAGCCCACGCAATAACCGAACACTTTTGAATATTTCTTTTAACTTTTAAAAAGGGGAAATGCAGATAGATTTTACGTACGCGAATCTTTATGTACGAAACATATGTATGATGACGAGCCAATGACGACAGAAGAGTTCTATTTTGTTTATTTACCAAGGTATTTTTATCGTATATTTACTTTTTTTTCTCAGATGATTTTGAATAAATGTAGTACTTAAAAAAAAATTTCGAAGTTTTTCGATCGATCTCGGAAGTGGGGGGGGGGTCGACTTATACGCGGGTATATACGGTATGTCTTTTGCATCTCCTCACTGGAACAAATGCTTCGGTTTTTTTTTTAAAGTGCTAGTAAAAGAGCTAAATGTTAAGGACTCAAACTAGAATAATTTTAAGTATCCAATTGATAGTGATAGTGAGCAGTAGGAACAGGGGCAGGTTTTTCGTGCGCCATCCTGTATCTTATCAGACACTACAGGATTACTTGCACTGCCGTTCCAGAAAATTTTCCTTCTCTCGGATCATGCGCTTTGCTTTTGTTAAAAGGCGCAAATTTTTCTTTTTATTCATTTAATGTATCATTTAACGTTTCATTTTTGCGTAAAGAGCTGCGGCGATGTGAGAGAAGGTGGAAACATGCACCCTTGAATCGTTGCATCTGTAGGTGGAGATTCGCAATTTATGATCGAAAATGCCGCTTACTGAGACTTGAATATAAATTTAAGAGATACCAATTATACATCTTTATAGTTATAAAATATAAACAACCACCGCCGCCGCTTACTGAGCTTAATGTTGATATGTTTCAATCTAATTCTTACTAGCAGATTTTACTACAGATCTAAAATGCGATTCCAAACTTAAGCTGCCAGCCAGCTAGATGGAGGGTCGGGGATCATGTGCTTTACGGAGAATTCTCAGAATGCGAATATAAGTGTATTAATTAGTGTGTTTGCTACTTTTATCAATCTGTGTATTTCAATCATTTGTTTTACAAGAAAGTTCAGTATAGTACAAAAATTTTACTTACAACGAATTTGGATTCTTGACGGCAAGACAAAATTTTAATGTTTTAAAAAATTACATTATGCATTAGAAAAATTAACTGAAATTGTTTGAAATAATTTGATAAATTTTTATATCTTATACAAATTTTTTTTTTTTTTTTTTTTTTTTTTTGAGTGAAATTAAATTTGTTGTCATCGGCATGTAAACAATCTTGCTA